CAAATGTTTTACTGTCATGGTCAAAGACCAAGTAAAGTCACCAACAATCACAATTCATCACTCGAATTATAAAAATGCTACTGCCATCTGAATTCGTGCGATGATTTAAGATAGGAAGTAAAAAAAATGAAAAAAAGATGAACAGCTCACCAGTTTAAACTTAGACTCAGCAAGAGGCTTTTCATGTGATGGAAATCGGTCTGGGTGAGATTCCCAGACCTTCTTCTTGTAAGCTGATTTTACCTAGAAAAAACAAAAAGAAGCAATCAGAATAGGCACAAACAGAAAATGGCAAAGTACTTTACGATAAAAAATTGATTAATATTTCAAATATTATTGTTAAGTCACCAACATAATGAAGACCAACATCGAATTAGGGCAACGAAGGCAAGAGGTGATAAAAAATAGGTTAGGTGGATTTTGATGTGGGCAATCGCGATGGAAAGAATAAAAAACCCTAGAAATTGGGAATGAGGAAATGACAAAACCTGGGACGGAGTTGGACGCGAATTGGGAGGGAAACCGAGCAAGACTCTAGCTTCATGAGCATCCATGTGTGAAGAAGAGTGAGTGACAGAAGAACATTTAGCATCAAGCTTTGAATTTGATCGCAGAGTGCAGAAGCAAACGGGGTAATTTCAAGAACATCCCATTATAAACATTTTGGTACCTCCCCAAACCGGACGGAGACGATGCATGATAACCATATTAAAAAAACATTATACCTTAATTGATTAATATAATAATTGTAAAGATATTTTATAAAAATAAAAATAATTTAAAATTATTATTATATTATTGTTAAATAATATTTGTCAAAGAAAAAAAAATAGTTTTCAGCTTCCATAATGAATCAATTTTTAAGATAATATATTTAAAATAGAAAATTAATTAAATAAAATATTTGTAAATTTATTTATTAATTAGATTTATTTATTATTGATACATAAAGTTCAATAATAAAATATAAATTTATATGATTTAATATAATTGTTTTCTCATTTTGCTTAATTATTTTTTTATTTTTGTGTTTATTTATTTATTATTATTATTTTTATTTAAAAATAATACATTAAAATTTAATAAAATGAGTCTTTATTATTTTTAAAAAATAAAAAATTTAAATTATTTAAAAATACTATTTAATATATTATAAATTGTTATGTTATAACTATTAAAAAGATTAAATATTGATTTAAAATAATTTCTTAATAAATATCTTCTAAAAATATTTAATATGACTACTTTTCATACAAATATCATCCGTCTTAAGGTAGATCTACGTTTTCGACAGAGTTATGATAGAAAGTGTGATAATGAAAGGTGGTTCCTACGAACAGGAAACATGATATAAACAATGCATTAAATAAAGCACCTCGTTATCCATTTATTGCCCAAGTTGGGATCTCTATTTTCTTATAGGTCCCAAATCTAGCAATTAATTGTACCAAATATCCAGCAATCGATGTCATGTTTAGCTACACCACATGTCATTTTGAAAAGTACATGCGTTATTAGTAGTATTTTTATATTTTATGAGCGCAACATGGAAGATTAACCAACTATATATCAATAATTTTTATTTTATTTTATTTTTCCTTTCAAACTTCAGACTCTACCTTGCAAGAAAAGGAATTAAGATTCAATAATGCTGAGTCCTTCTTCAAGATTCCAACGACTCGATGCCTCCAGCCACAATTGGGTCACTTTCAACTGCTATTATTATGTGCATCAAGAGGGAGATCTGGAAGGCAAAATTAAGCACAGCACTGATGTTGAAAACTCAAGACTGCAAAATTAAATTTGATACATTCAATTCTCAATAATAAATTATATTGAAACTTGTTTATTATAATTAAGAAAGATTCAAATTTGACCATTTGAATTTGAACGGAAAGTAATTCAAATTTTATGGATTTTACTTTCTTTGAAATTTTAAATTTCCTATCCTGCTAAAGCTAACTCTAGTTTTCTTGTTTTACTTTCCAAGCGGATATTTTCTTTTAATGCTATTATTTACTGTGTTGAATCCTACAGAATTTATTGAATTTTGTTTTATGCATATCGCGTGATATTCAATAATTAAAAATTTGATGTTAGGAAGATGCTGTCATAGGACCTGAGGCATATTTGACCATTGCTATTCGTAGAGATATATGAAAAATGAATCTAACAATTTGTTCTTAATTTGTATGTTTTTTATGCCAATTTTAATATTTAGCCTACGAAGCTGGTTTAAGGAGAGAAATTGACTTCATTTATTTATCATTCTTAAGTCGTCATGTTTTACTGCTACACGAGTTTTAACGGTTGAAGTTTGAATAATGAACGCTGACCCATAATAAAACTGTTTTGTCCCTCCAATCTTTTATGTTATTTATTCAAAGATAATCTTATTATTCAGAGTCCTGATATTTTAAAAAAAATTAAAAAATTTCAATATACAATTTTATTTTATTAATATTATATTAAATTAATTAAAAATCATTATTTTATTAATAAATAAAGTTATTGAAGGATATTAATCCATCATTGTTAATATTTGATTATAAAGAAACTTCTATATTACAAACGACCCAACAATAACTATTTTTATTAATTTTATAATAATAATAATAATACTTTATGTCACTATAAGTATAAGAAAAAAATAAATAAAAGTAGTGATAAATTTGAAAAGAATTATCATTAGGGAATATTATTTAAAATAGTAATATGGTTGATGTAGGTAAACCAATGGGGTAAAACTGAATCAGGTGAGTAGAGGTAGAGATAATATGACAATTTAAATCATAATGGTAGTGAATTTGAATCATAGTGGTGCACGAATGTATTAAGGGTTATTGTCTATTTTTGAAAATAGAGTACATCAAAATCTATAAGTGACAATAAAAATTTGAGATAGGAATTGTGAAATGTGAGGTCTGGTTTGTAGTGTTTAGGACGACGAGTGACTAATCAAACGCTTTCCAGGACATGAGGGTTGATCAAGTCAATTAGATTAAAGGGCATCAACTGCTTCGTTGAAGACAGCATATACATGTGCAAGTTATACGAAAAGACAAAATATCGATAAAATTAAGAATCGAAGACTTAAAGAGTGAAGATCATCGACACAGATAAAATCAAGAGAAAGTTATACGGAAATATCTTCCAATGATACATCGAAAGACTGATGAAGGTGGTTAAGAAACAAGTTTCGTGAAATATGCCATTTAAAAGTAAACATGTATTAACAAGGTGAAACAATTACAAGAAGATAAATGTTTAAAGATTCTAATTTGTAATTTTTATTTTTTATTTTCATTTGCTTTAGCGATTAATATATATATATATATATATATATATATATATATATATATATATATATATATATATATATATATAAATAGTTGGGTGACTGTTAAATTATACAACTTATATTATAAAAAATGCTACAAACTAAGAATAAATGTTTTTAGTAGATTTATTATTTTTATGCTATTTAATTTTCCGTATAATTATTTTTTAATAATTTATTTTTATAAGTTGTTTCAAATGTTTCATATTATATTAAATATAAAGATTGAATAGAAACATAACTTAATTAAAATCTACTGTGTATTAATCTTTGAACGAGAATAAATAATTCACGTAATATTTAAATAATTTAGTGCAATTTAGTGCGTGTATTAATTATTCCAACCGTTATTTTACCCTATAAACAAAATAATAGATAAATTTGTGCAAATAACACCATAGCTTTTCTTTATTGAATTTTAATACATTATTCACTAATTTTTTACTGTTCTGAATTAAATTTTGCAATTCAAATGTTTTTATTTTAATTACAAATATTAACAAAAATATAAATTATATTACTATATGTTATATGAAACAATTAGCAATAAATATATATATATATATATATATATATATATATTAATTATAATAAAATATAAATTTAATTGTACGAGTTAGTTTCAAATGTATGTAAATTGAATTTTTGGGTATTGTAAATATACTTTTTTTGTGTGGGGATTTTAGTTGTGTTATTGTTATGTCACTATACATTCCACATTGATGGGAAATAAAAATCATAAAATTGCAAACAACAAACTTAATAATCAGCATAATTGAAATTTGGGAAACTATATAACATATATTAAATATTTGTTAGATTGAATTAACACAATTAATATGTGGAGAAAGAAAATCCCAAAAATGTAATACTTAGAGGATCAAAAGCAGAATTAAAACAAAAGCTATTCATGCAAACTTTTTTCTTAGGTTAAGATCTAAACAAATAAATTTAATTAGTGACCTTTGAATAAAAAAAAAAGAAAATAGAGGAGTCAAAGCAATAAAGAACCATAAAATAACAATAAATTATTAAGTATTAAATTAACATTAAAAAGTTATAAATTCAAATATTAATATATGTTAAAGAAACGAGTTTTTTTTTTTTTTAATCAATTGACTAAGTTATGACGTTTTAAAGTTAAGTATTTTGTATTAATAATAATAGTAATAATAAAACATAATAAGAAGCAAAATATCCACAATCCAACAACATTACTATAAATTAGATTTTGGTTTCTGATTAGTAACAAGAAGTCGTCGAACATCAACGGCTCACCGAAAACCTCTGAATGGTTTTCCGAGAGAATAGCAGGAGCTGAGGTTGAAGAATGGTCTCCTTCAACACTATTTTTCAGGCGCCAGAAAAGCAGTTATTAAAATAGAAAGACGGCTTCATTCGTTGCAAAATCTTGGGCCAATAGACTCAGAAGGGAACGACAAGCGCGGATGGCCAAGTATAGAGTTTGTTGGATTGAACGGTGGAGAAGGGTTGAAGAAGCAGTATATAAACCCACTCGAGCTCATCATTCTACATCAGCATCTGAACAATAACCTCCCCTACAACCATTCAAAGGGGAGGAGCAATAAGCCTTACAGTCTTCTTTTCCACCACTACCACTACCACCGGTGAAAAGAAGATCCAAGGCACCAAAAAAAAAATGTCTGGCAAAATAATTGTCTCAGCTGTTTCTCTCATCCTCGTGGTCGGTGTTGCCATCGGTGTTGTAGTGGCCGTTAACAAAAAGGGTGATGATCCCACCATACAATCTCATCAAAAATCCGTCGGCGTTATCTGTAAAAACACCGATGACCAAAAACTCTGCCATGACACTCTCAGCTCCGTCAAGGGTGCTGACGCCGCTGACCCCAAGGCTTACATCTCCACGGCAGTGAAAGCCACCATGGACAGCGTGATCAAAGCGTTCAATATGAGTGATCGGCTCACAACCGAGCACGGAGACAAAGATAGTGGCATTAAGATGGCCCTCGACGATTGCAAGGACTTGCTGCAATCCGCCATGCAGAGTCTTCAGTTCAGCATTGACATTCTGCAAAATAACAACGTCCAAGCCGTGCAAAACCAAGAAGCTGATTTCAGGAACTGGCTCAGTGCGGTTATCTCGTACCAGCAGGCATGCATGGAAGGTTTCGACGATGGCAAAGACGGTGAGAAGAGTATCAAGGAGCAGTTGCAAACACAGACTTTGGACCATGTGCAGAAAATCACCGGCGTCGCCCTTGATATCGTGACTGGTTTGTCAAACATCCTCGAGCAATTCGGGTTGAAGTTTAATCTAAAACCCTCTTCTCGCCGTCTTCTCAGCGATGACGGGTACCCCACTTGGTTCTCTGCCTCAGACCGCAAGCTCTTGGCTCAGCTTCAACGCCAGGGATGGAGATCTCGCATCACACCCAATGTCATTGTTGCCAAGGATGGTTCTGGTCAGTTCAAAACCATTGCCCAGGCTATTGCTTCTTACCCAAGCAACTTCCAGGGTAGATACTACATCTATGTTAAGGCTGGTGTCTATGATGAGTACATCACCGTTCCCAAGAACGCCGTCAATATTCTCATGTACGGTGATGGCCCTACAAAGACCATTGTCACCGGTCGCAAGAACTACGCCGAGGGTGTCAAGACCATGCAGACTGCCACTTTCGCCAACACTGCTCAGGGCTTCATTGCTAAGGCAATGACATTCGAGAACACCGCTGGAGCTGCCGGACATCAAGCCGTGGCTTTCAGGAACCAGGGAGACATGTCAGCAGTGATTGGTTGTCACATTTTGGGTTACCAAGACACCTTGTACGTCCAAACCAACAGGCAATTCTACCGCAACTGTGTTATCTCCGGCACCATTGACTTCATCTTCGGCACCTCACCTACCCTGATCCAGCACTCCGTCATCATTGTGAGGAAGCCCCTGGGCGACCAGTTCAACACCGTAACCGCCGACGGCACACTCCGACAGAACATGGACACTGGAATCGTGATCCAGGACTGCGAGATCGTCCCCGAAGCCGAGCTCTTCCCCGTGAGGTTCCAGTACAAGTCCTACTTGGGCAGGCCATGGAAGCAATACTCAAGGACCGTTGTCATGGAATCCACCATCGGTGACTTCCTTCACCCCGAAGGATGGTGCCCTTGGGCAGGAGCATTCTTCGAAGACACCTTGTACTATGCTGAGTACAACAACGCCGGACCTGGTGCCGACGTCAGCAAAAGAATCAAGTGGAAGGGTTACCATGGTCTCATTTCCCGCGAAGAAGCTACCAAGTTCACCGCTGCTCAATTCCTCAAGGCTGGAGCCAACGACGGAACCGACTGGTTGAAGGCTCTTCATGTTCCTCACGTCCTTGGCTTCGCCAAAGCTTAAAACCAAACGCATTATCCTTGCCTCATGCCTTATGTCTTCTTACTGAGAGTGTCCCCATCTTGATGAGGGCGTAGACATTACTATTCTTTGTAATAACCTTTCTTATTTAAATAATAATAAAAAAACAAATTTTTCTCACTTTATTTCTTATTATCAATGGAAAAAATGTTTTAACATCCCACATTTTTCCAATATCTAATAAACCATCTTAAAATATTTTTTAATAAATAAAAATAAAATAAAATAAAATAGATAAATAATATATATATATATATATATATATATATATATATATATATATAAAAGTTATTACCAACCATCTTACCTTGCCAGACACATATAAATGCATTAATTACACTAATAATAACTGTCACTCTTAAAATAATTTCAATTTTTAAAAATTAAATCTCGAGAAAATATAATTTTAAAGAATGATTATTTTTCATTCAATAAATGGTGTAATTAATTATAATATTGATTTTAAACATTGAATTAAAAAGTATTAGCTCATTAGAAACATGAATCACAAAGTAAAAAGGATAAGGGATAATAATGTTGGAAGAGGCATAATTTTAAAAGAAAATTATCGATTCATAAAAAAATTACGTAATACGACCCCACAACCAAAAAATTGTGCTATAAAATATGATTTTAATTTTTTTATATTATTAACTTGTTTATATCTTTTAAAGAACTCGTGTTATTTTTATTTATTTATACATACAATTATTTATATTTATTTTATTATTATTAATATTTGAGTATATTTCCATCTCACATTATTTAATGAATATTTTAATATATTCTCTTTTATGAACTTAAGGATATTATTTAACATGAAAAATATTTTAATACATTCTCCTCTCTAAATCTATCAAAGGATAAAATTGTAATATATTAGAGTTCTGAAGTTTAGATAAGAGAGTTAATCCTAACAAGTATTATCATAGTTGTATGATTGTCCCTTATTATGATATACTATACAAAATGTGTTTTTTATATCGGACTTTCTACATCAATTTTTAAAGAATTGATGTAGAAAGTGATGCAATGACAATTTTAAATTTTTTTAAGACTTTCCACATCGATTCAGTTGACAACCGGATAAACCAATGTTGAAAGTCTTTTTATTTTAAAAAATAATTAATAAAAATTCTAGACACACTTTTTACCTTGGTTCTTATTGTAACGGATGTAAAAAGTGTATATAGGATTTTAATTATTTTAAAAAAAGGACTTTTTACATTGGTATAAATATATTTATATTTATATATTTTCTATTTATATATTTATACGGATATATATTTATTTGTATATAAATATAATATATTTGTAAGTTATTATCAAAAAATCCTAGTAGCTTAGTGGTTGGAGTATCGGCCTCCAATTTTAATATACTTTCTACATTTTTAATAAAAACCTATTATGTACTAGTGTATTAAACCTAAATTGAGGTTATTCTTTAAGAATTATGGTAAAGTTGTTTATGAATGTCTTATTAGGAGATTTGATGTTAACAAAGATGATGAAAATGTAAATTTTGAATCATTTATATGTTGGAGAGATAATTTTTTATTTTGTGCTGGAGCGATTTATAAAACAGGTTGAAATCAAATGACATTCACTAGTGCAAAATGACTTTTTAGGTCACATAAATAATGTCGGATCAAAAAATAACTGACTTTAAAACAATGTGGTGACAATTTTTATGTCGGACCTAGAAGGGACGGACGTAAAAATTGTGTTGCGCAGTGACAATTTTGTAAATAGTGGACGCAAATTTTACGTAGTGACAATTTGACGTAAAAGTAATTTTTTACGTCAATACCTTCTAGGTCCAATGTAAAAATCGCATTTTATTCTTCTCAGCGCCACTTCTTCGTCTCACTCAACAAGGGTTTTTGAGGACCATAACGACAACGACGATGACCAACTCTTCTCAAGGTACATTTCAACCATAGTGAGTGACAAAAATATTTTCATTGTGTCCCATTTGTGGTGATTGACATTTCTCTCCGATTGAATTCGAGTTTTACAACATTTTTTATATATTTGAGGTTAGTATTCTATATGTCTCATATCCTCTTTTATAGGGGTGTCTATATGGGTTCTAACCCGTGAGCCAACCTGGCTTACCACGGGTTCGAACTGGGTTGAGTTCGATTTTTTTTATTTCTGTCGATTATGGGCTAAAAATGAACCCAGCTCACTTAACCCACGGGTTAAACGGGTTCAAGCCGGGTTATGGTGGGTTGGCCCACAACCCACCATTAATTTTAAATTTTAAAAATAATTATAATAACATACTAACCTTAATTAATCATTTATTTTTAATTTTAAAAATAATTATAATACTTTAGTAACCCTAATTGATGTTATTCTGTCTTATCTCTACCCTACATTGTTGGTTATCACCAAAAGCCAAACCCTCACTTAAACTTGTTATCAGTTATTCGCTACACCATTACGTTTGCCGATGCACTTTAATCACTTGTCTTACTATCTGTCCACCGCACCACTACACCATGTCCATTGTATTGTTTTTAAAGGTAAGAATTTGTTTCATAACCTAAACTATTGGATTGATGAATCTTTATTTGAAAATTGTAGCATCTATACATTATTTTTTGTTTGTTATTGATTTATAAGTATATATCTTTAATATATAAATTTTTGACTTCTTTCTTTTAAATTAATTTACGAGTATGGAATCGAAACAATACATCAAAGTGTCAATGTACATTATATTGGTGATGATTTTATTATTAATGAAAAACTCAATGAGCCAATTTCAGTTAATAACGAAGATACCGATGTTGAGAAAGAAAGGAAGAAAACATAAATTTCTACATCTGAATATATAATTTAAAAAATTAAAAAATTATGGGTTTGTGAGTCAACCTACCTAACCCACCAACCCGTGGTGGGTTGAGCCAGACTGTAAAATTTTTGGCTCGCCAAAAAGTGAATCAGGTTGAGCTCACCTATTTCCAGCTCAACCTGTGGTGAGCCAACTCGTGTGAGCCGGGTTGGCTCACTTTGACACCCCTACTCTTTTATGTTGAAATTGAATGTTTTTCACTGGATTATTATTGATATTAAACTGTTGTAGTTAGTGTTCTATGCATTTGAATCCTACTTTTTTGTTGTTGTAATTTGTATATTGGGGGTTTAGGTTGTTGTTGTTTTGTGTATTAGGATTTTATGATAAAAAGAAAATGGAAAATGTTCAAAGCAAGATAACTTTTGACTTGGATGTCGGATTTGGACGCACATCATATCAAAACGAAAAGAAAAAAAGTGAAGAAGAGAGGGCAAATTCCTAAAAGAGATTTGTCCTAACAATTTCTCCAAAATATACTCCTAAGCACATGTAATACACACAAGTTTGTGCGGATATAACCAAAGGTAATTGTTTTTAACATTTGTTAAGTTCATTTACATTTGTGTGTATTACATGTTAATTGGAGTCAAATTAATGTTTCAGGTATTTCAAGATTCATTCATCTCCACTATCAGAACATGATCTTACACAAACTAGAGAATAAAAAATAAGGTTTTTCGCTAAACATTTATAATTTGTATTGTATGTACTTTAACATTTACGTAACTTAGTTTTTGTATTAGTTTTTGTCTTTGTATTATATTGTATATTTGAATTATTGTCTATTGAAATATGATATCTGGACTCGCTGTAAGAAAAAAAGAAGATGAAATTTACGTCGGTTACCCCTATGTCTGAGTATATTTATGTCGGTTACCCCTATGTTCGACGTAAATTAACGTCTCCCATATTAACGTCAAACGTATTTCTGATGTAAAAAGACCAAAATAATATATATGACATAAAAGCTCAATTTTATACTAGTGAATTATAGTCATTCCTATCGTAATGTATGATTATTTAATAAAAGGATTTACTACAAATACTAGTTTGGTTTATTATTGGTGGGATAATGGTCTACTTTTTTATATACATCATGCAGTACAACTCTCCAATCTTTCGAAGAGTACTTATGGTTAATATTGAGTATATAAGCACAAATTTTAAATCCAAAGATTAAAGGTACTCTAACAAATTTTATGTAAGACTGTCTTTTTTAATATAATAGGAAAAAGTTGACAAATAAATCACCTTTACTCTCATTCTACATTTATATGTCTCCTTATTCAATTTTTTTTAAATCATTAGATCGGTTTTTTACTGGCTCCATATTTTTTTTTCTTTCACGTACTCTCAAACCTTTTACATATTTCTACACATTATTACTATATACACGCGTTGGAAGAATAATGGATGAATTTAGTCGCAATATTTACTTTATTGGACTAAGTAAATAAAAATATATAAATAATTTTGGATATTATAATGAGGAGATAATATGTGAAATAGTTATTATAGTACTCTGTTGGTACTGCGAAATTAGAGTTTTTTACCGATGCAATTTAAATAGAATATTATCAAATTGGTGTAAATTTTGAAATGGGTAAGTCCTTATGCATGACGACTAGATGTAAGAAAAAGTCCTATTATACAGGAAGACTAGATGTAAGAAAATTTACCACGGTTTATGTTAATATATATTTTTTTTTCCTTATAATTCGTGTAACTTAGTATAACTTTATATTATTATTTTTTAATTTTAAAATTATGTTAATACGACTTAAATTTTTCTATTTTTTATTTTTATTTTGTTGTTTTTTTAGTTTTCTATATTTAATTTAATTATAAAATAATATTATATATAATATTTTTTATTTATCATATTTTAAGTAAAAAATTAAAATATAAAAATAGTTAATAAAATAATATACATTAATATTAATAGAAATAATTACATAATGTAAAATAATGTAATACAAATCTAAACCAAGAATAATTTAGTATAAGTAATATGTTCTACAATATAATTTTCTTCTATTTTGTCTAGATTTTTCATTTTATTGGAGGATATGTCTTTATTGTGTTTTTTATCATTATCATCATATTCATTTTTTTG